TCACGGATTCCAACGCTTTGCCAACTCAAAATTAGCTATTGTTATGTGGATGTACGCGCTAAATCAGTTTACAGAACAGGTAAGTCGAGTAAGCATGTATAAACTTGACCGAGTCGAAGCTAAGGTGATAAAGAACCCTCTCATGAGTAGGATTACAGCCGTAGCCCTCAACCCCGGCACGCTCAGCGACTCACGCGGTTTCCAGACACATACACCCCCGTGGATGCAATATTTGTTCAAGTTCGTCATCCGGCCACTACAACCGCTGCTTAGTTTTAGGGATCCAAGTATGCGCACATCAGCCGAGGCGTCAGTTGATGTCATGGATCTGGCAATGAGTAAACTGGCGCCTGGGGAAAGGGGGTATTTCAAGTTGAGAGAAAAGGTTGATAGCTCCCCTGATAGTATGGACGAAAAAAAGCAGCAGCTGTTATGGAGTAAGACCGAAGAGTGGGCCGGAATGGATGGGACCAGTACAGATCCCAGTAGCATTTGGCACCTTCCCTCTTATAGTCCATTGATAGAAGCTATGTCTCCATCTATCTATGCGGATTCACCAAATTTTGAGGGGTCACCAATGGTCGAGAATAGGATCAAATCCCCGAATATTTTAGGTTCACCAATGACGGAAAATGGCATGAAATCCCCGAATGCCTTAGGTTCACCGATGACTGAGATTGGGCTCAAGACCCCCAAATTTGGGGTACGTTAGTTTGTGATTTGTATATTAGCGTATAGGCGTTTTTGGGTTTGTAGATAAATGTATGTAAATGGCGGAAAGATCCCCGATTTCCAATAGTTCATACCACATTATTTGCCTTCTTTATAACTTTCAAATGCGAAGTGAGCAGATTTGAGGTTGCCGCATCAGTGATACTCAACATGACAATTTTCAAAATCTTGAGTGATGTGGATTCCTGTGAGTTGTCTACCATGGTAAACAATATCGCAAGGGAAGAACGTTGCGGGTCGCCCTGTACGACGAAAGGCCAGTCCAATATCGAAACTATACTGTACAGCACAGCACAGTATAATACAGTAATTCGTGCCATTACAGCCCACTCCGCAAAATGGCCACAAATCTTGCAGATTCTCAACATGCCCAGATTCACGACATACTCCTTGCCAATAGCTAATATTGTTGCGGTAAACGTTCCGTTATACGATAAAATCAAACATTCGTGTTTATAGCTCTTCCAAAGCCTTTTAAAACGGTGTCGGGCGGCCTCAAAGCGTTGCGTCATCAATGTTAAATACTTTGTGTAAGTACTTACTAGAAAAGCCTGGTTTACATCGGGATAATATGACGCATTTTCTGTTGAACGAGTTTAATGTCCCAATAACACTCTCTCCAGTGTAAGCAAAGCGCTAAAAGCTCGCGACTAAACTAAAAAATCGATTCGCCGTATAACAAAAGCGCGAAATGCTAATTTGCGAAACTTGTATGTAAATAATTTGTAAAAGTCGGACTTCCGTTCGTTTTACTACATTTTCGTAAATAAGTCGAGCCGTAGTTTAAATTACTTGCTTTCAACGTCAAAAGCGATATTAAATATTGTCAGTGTGTACACAGGAGGGTATTATTCTTACCCGAGTCTTCCAGAGATTTACAGACAGCGCAGTCTTTAAAGAATTTAGAAAACAGCTCCTGCTTTTAATAGGGAAATAGCCTGAATTAAAATTAGTTCTTGTTATAGATATGCCTCTTTTCATCACAGAACAAATCGAGCAAATGTGTCGTGATACGGTGTAAAGCTAGTATATCTGCCGCTATTCTCACCTGATTTCAATTTTATTAAAAAATTCTTCGCGAAATTAAAAGGTTTTAAAAAATGTAATTGGCACATTGATAAAAACATCCACGGCAAGGTTTTGATATCTTTTTGGAATAGTGCATTGACGTAGTAGGTAAAAAGAGAGATAGCGCCAAGGGTAGTTTAGGACGGAGGCATAAGTATTGAAGAACTATAAGCTTGGCACAAGTACTTAATGTGGGCAACAGAAATCAAATATCCTAAAAGAACAGACACTGCAATGCATTCCATCCTCCTCACTATTCTTCAGCCTTAAATGCCCCAGACCAGAAGAGAAAACATAATGCAAGGCGAGTGATACACGACCTCCCCCCCTGTTTACTACACGACCTCCCCCCCCCTGCACCTGTTGTAATAGGCAAGCGGTGTAGAGAGCAGCCAAGGTACCAAGCTGTAGTAAGGGGTTGGCTCTAAAATTTTGTACCGTAGCTGCTGTAGACATTTGTTAACCTCGCTGTCACCACCTTACTGTCGCCACCTTACCATCGCTAGTCGTTGCATCTTTCCAGTTGATCAATATGTCATTGACTACATTTGCCACCGAAAATCAGGCTCCTCCAGCAGCTTTAAACATCGATTCCTCCTCGTCAAATGCTGAAGCTTCAATTGCACCATTATCCCTTCCACCACCAGGCTGTTTTAATTCATTCGACGACCTTTTTGCTCATACGCAACAACATGCAAAACAAGCTTTGTATGCTTTTATAATTGGTCATTCAGAGAGGCGTAAAGGGCGTATAATTCGAGTGTTGAATTGCCAACGAGGAGGCTGTAAAAAAGCTGCTTTTCTTCGACCTGGAGTAAATAGTCAGCACCGAAAAAGAGAAGGGAATACAGCTAAAACTGGGTGCTTATTCTCTATTAAAGTAAAGGAACGCTCTGATGGAATATGGGAGCTTTTATACCGCGAAGATCCCAAATACTCAGTTCATAATCACCCTCCTGCAGAACGTTCAAGCGCTTTTCATATTCATCGACAATTAACTTCAGCTCACCTCGATATTGTAGCTTCTCATCAACTTGCTAGAGTGCCTCCTAAATCGACAATAGCTGCTTTGCGTCAGCTAGATCCTTCTTTGGAAATCATACCTCGAGATATTTATAATATCAACGCTGAATTGACTCGTACTAAACGAGGTGGGAAGTCACCTCCTGAAGCTTTAATTGCGCAATTAGAAGCTCAACAAGCTGAAGGGAAAGTGGTATTTGCTATGGAGAGAGATGATCAAGGGCATATCAATTTCCTGTTCATTGCAGCCGCAAAATCAGTAGAGTATTTGAACAAAAACGCTGAAGTAATATTGCTTGATTGTACTTACAAAACCAACAAATTCGGTATGCCTTTGCTTCATATTATGGGGATCGACGGTATGAATCAGACGTTTACAGTTGCGATTTGCTTTCTTGATCAAGAAAATGAAGATTGTTACAACAAAGCTGTACTGCAATTTCGTCAGCTTTTCGATCAATTTGTGTATCCTTCAATACTTGCAACTGACTGCGATATTGCTTTGATTTCGGCTCTTGAACGTTACTTTCCAGCTATTCGCACTAAAGTCGTTCTTTGCTTTTGGCACATTCTTAAAAACGTCGCTCTTCACTGTAAAGCCAAGTTCGAAACTCAAGAGCGTTGGGAGCTGTTTCTAAAAGGATTTCGAGACGTTGTACAAGCTAAAACCGAGGGCGAATATGAGGATATATTGCAAGAGTGGAAAGACGATTTTCATTGGAACAACGGCCATCCACACGTAGGCGTGGCTTCTTCAACACCGCAAGAGATCCAAGAATTGGCTGAATTCGATTTAGAGCGTGAAGCACTTGCTTACTGCATCGGTCAATGGCTAAGTAAGCACAAATCGAAGGTCGTACACGCTTGGGTAGATCGATATTTCCATGCAGGAGCACGTACTACGTCGGCTCTTGAAGGAGGCCATCATACTCTCAAAAGCTGGATAGGCACTTCTACGGGTGATTTAACAACCGTATGGGAGAGTACGCAGCGTGCAATTGAAGATGAGTTAATCAAAATACAACAGAAAAGAGCAAGAGAACGTCAGTCGACACCTATACACCTTTCGAGCTCATTTTACTATGGCGTAGTGAGCCATATCACTAATTTTGGGCTGAAAATGCTATCAGAGCAATACGCTATTTATCAACAAAATCAACAATCGCAAACAGATGATTCTCATACAATTTGTACCGGCAATTTCTCCTCTGCGTTTGGCGTACCGTGCTGGCATACAATCAAGCTCAAAATTGAGTACAATCAAGCTATTCAGCCACTCGATTTCCACCCTCATTATCACTATTTACGACCTTCTCCAGGTGCTGAACCTATTATATTTCCAACTCCGATTCTTGATCCTATTAGCTATCAACGACGTCGATCTGCTGAAGCAGAAAAACGAGCACACGTACGCCAATACAATCGACTACGAACTGCACAAACAGGAAGGATATTGAGCCAATTTGAAGAAATAACACAGCCTTTACGGCACTGCTCAGCTTGTATTGCTTATGGGCATGATAAAGCAACTTGCAAAGGGTGCCAATCAACTGGCCATACTCGAAGTACATGCCCTAATCAGCCTTCTACGCTTCCTATAAACCGAGATCTGCTTATTTCTAACCCTTTCTCTTCTTTACAACCAGTCTACGGCTCTGTTTATAGCAGTCAAAATCATCGAAATCACATACAAACTGGAGGGAATCTGCTGCAAGAGGAAGAGCGAGTACCTGCAACTCAATACGCCACCGATTTTGAAAGCCAAATAACTCGATTTTTTTAGACTTTTAATACTATATTTGCCATATCCTATTCAATTCAGTTCTTCATTTTTTCTTCAAGTCATCAGCTTATTTTGGTGAGCGCCCCACCTAAATAGTCTGATTGGTGGCAGAAAACCAAAATTACAAGGGGGGGGGAGGTCGTGTAGTAAACAGGGGGGGAGGTCGTGTATCACTCGCCTAATGCAAGGCCGTAATCGAAGCTAACTATATTGGAAATAGCACTCTAAGAGAATGTGGGCCGAGAACAAAATCATAGAGTTAGCACCTGAAGGCGATTTTGGCCACTACTGTATCTCATCAACGCAAAAAATACGAACCGATCCTCTGTGCTCTCCGTTCGAAGCATGCCCTCCCTCCAAATTCAATGTCAAAAGGCAAAAACAAAAGAAGAATTGCGTTCGCCGGGAATCGAACCCGGGGCCAATCCAAGTTGAAAGCTTCTTGTGGGAAGAACTAGATGGCAAGGATCGATTTTACCACTAAACCACAAACGCTTGGTCTCGTTTTGTTTCAGGCCGTTTTTATCTTTGTACTCATTTGGATAAAGGTAAGACGCAGGGAAAATGAAGGAAATGGGGGTTTGTGGGTCATGTGAGAGTTACCAAAATGGGGCGCCAAGCCTGACGTTTCTCTGTCTTGCTCTCACCAATGCTTGGTGCTATACTAATTGCTGAGGAAAGGGAGAGAGGGAGGGGAAAGAAAGTTTCAAGGCTTAGATTTAGCGAAGTAGCTTGGGATATCTGGCAGCTGGCTCTCGTGCAGCTGGATCTGGGCCTCGATTCCGAAACGGGGCTCGCTAAGTTCTCCTTTACTGGCACTCGTTGACTTCGCAAAGACTTGTATACTGAAGTGCACCCCTATGCTGCCGTTTCCAGTAGACGTATGTCGGATGGAAATTAAGTGTAAGCAGTTAAATCTTCCAGGCGCGTGGGAGGCGTTCGTGGTTGATTGAGATTAGATCTACTGAGCATCCAGTTCTGACGCCATGCATACGTTCGGTGATTGCTATCCATTTGTTCCCTTGCTCTGCTTAGATCGTTCTATCAATCTCTCAATTTCACTGAGCGCACCTTCCGTCCCCACAAGTACAACATTCGTCATCAAGTAGAGCTGTGCAACTGGAACACGATTACCACAATCAACTTTTGTACTTACATAGAAAAATAGGCAAGCTTGCTCCAAAGTTAATACTGGAGTATTGGTGATATTAAATGTGTCGCTTTTGATTTCGAATTCTCTGGTACTGAGTAACATACTTTAGCTGATGAAATGTTTGACTATGATTGTACGACTTCGCTTGTTGTTCTGGTGTATATATATTTTTTTTAAGTTTCCCGCATTTTTACATGGAACGAATAGGATTGACGAAGATCTGCAAAGTGTTTTCTAGGCGCTAGAAATGCGATGGGGTTCTGAAGTTGTTGCAAAGAAAACACACTGGCCAATAATCACATTATTTGTACAATTTTTTTATACAGATGGTAATGACTGCTGAGCCCCATGCTTTACTTTGTGTCACAGGGGAAAGGAGTTTTTTGACACGTGAAAGAGTCTGAAATGCATCATGAATGAAACTCTTCTTGAATACTGATGGTGGAAATTTCGATCCTACAGCGTAAAAGTTGAAGGGAGTATAAAATTTGGAAGATAACAGTCATGATAAAAGTACCATTGCTTCCCAGAACGAAAGTTCGTTTTCTATTTGTATTACCTTGCGATGCTGAAATGGTTTCCATGTTCTTTTTAGGTATCGATATATGGAAGCTCTGGGGACAATCACGTTAGAAGAAAGACAAGTGACAACTCCGGAATACACCTTGTGCAATCATTGAGTGCAATATTTTCAATATAGCATTTTCATTTCTGGGCTGAGTCCTTGGATAGGCCCTCTTTAACTGAATCCAAATCTTGAACTCTCAGGTGATCGAGTATCGATCCAAAGATCATGGATCAGCCAGGGTGATGGTTCCCCATTCATACTTGGTATATCCAGATGCAACCCTGATCTTTGGAATCACCCACTCGGGATGAGCTTTAGCAACGACCGTCAATGTTGCCCGGTAATGCGACATAAGCCTCTCTCGCCAATTATCTTCATCCCACACCCTTAAAGTAATTTCCTTCAACCCTGCAAACAACCTGATCTCGTCCCAGCAAAAATTCCTCCTGGCGTAAAGATCCTCGTGGATATCAAAGACCATATTCTGAATCTTATCTGTGTCATCCGGTCCGTGATATCCTCCGCCAAGCAGTACATCAAGCAGATAATCGGAGGCGGTTGATGATGGTGACCAACGGTTATCTGCGAGGTCCTCGTCCCCAAATAGCACCGTGTCCATGTCGAAGTTGAGGTAGATCGTTGGCTTGTGGAAGTAGGTGCCGAAAGCAAGCTGGAATGACTTTAAAGCTTCAACACGTGATTCATGACAGATGTGGAGGATGGTAGGGATTGGCGTCTTGCTTATCCAACCGTCAAAGGCAGCGCTTGCCCGGCCGTTGAACTGCTTGTAATTTGCATGGTATGAGACTTGTACGGTTCGAGGGCCCGGCGCGATGAACTCCCATATTCGAAGACGGATCTCATACGGGAGGAGAGGGAAGGATGTGAAGCTGGTGGCGGCCAGGTTATCTGAGGACGATGAAGTCTTTTCCATTTTGCTTTGAAATATGCCAGCTTAAAGCAATCCAGAGGATAAAATACATAGTTTCGACAACAGGCAGCCTCTAAATCTCCGTTTCGGAAAGGGCCTAGCGTGCTTGCCAGCGATGGAGCTTACTGTAGCATTTACTAAAGACACCCCCTCTTCGTCTAAGCGGCGATTGGAGACTAGGCTTCTATCCAGCTGGTGATTGTTGAATCACTTCATCCCCCCACGCTACAACTCTCAAAGCTGTAATGCTCCAAAATTTACATTTGAGTAGGTTGGCATCGGTAATATGAGAGCAAGTCCAGGAATTTGGCTAGATTCTATCAGAATGGCCGAACTCGATGGAGCTCACGACTCTGTCAATATTACGTCGAGAGACACCACTTGAATATATAAAAACCTCGCGACGCAGTCGATACCGCTCGTTGCGTTCGGTCGCAATTTACAAACGAGATATACTCTTGGGCCCCTCACTGTGACGACAATTTCGAGCTATAAAAGGTCAGAACTTTCCAGCACGAAGAATTGGAAGATATGTGAAAGAAAGTACCTTGCATGCTCGGGTAGGTCATATTTTTCTTGATGTTCCATAGGTCCGCTACTCATATATCAATCACCAAAATAATTTATCATACCGTAAGACTCGCCATGCAACCATGAATATATGCTGTAGGAGAATTGCTCTAACCCATTCACTACAAAAATCCATCAGCTAGCTAAGAAGCATAGATCATATTATCTTGAGCTTTGATATGAATACAAGCCGGTTGAGTTGTATTCAATTGCCAGCCTCCAGGGGAACTGTATCTGCAAACATACGCATGCTGGGTAATTCCACATGCCCACACCCATGAACCTTTGCGTTGTCTAAATTTCTCGAATGTCCTTCATCTCTTTCTCACTCAATAAAATCTCCAAAGACCCAAAATTCTCCAATAGGTACTTTTGCTTATTCGTTCCCGGAATTGGAAACACGTCATCTCCCTAAGCTAGCAGCCAAGCAAGCACTAATTGCCCAATAGTACACCTTTTCTGGTCCGCGACTTTCTTGAGTGCATTTACAACCTCCAAGTTTTTGGGGAAGTTCTCTGGGGAGAAAGGCGGCATGAAATGGCGGCAATCACCATCCTTGAAATCACCTAGAGAGGTATACCGGCCAGTGAAGAAACCACAACCGAGAGGTGAGTAAGCTACCATTGCGACACCAAGCCCACGACATGTCTCTAGAAGTTTAGTGTTAGAGGATTCGACTTCGAGGCAGAATGGAGAGTACTCCATTTGCACGGCCGTAATTGAATAGACTTTATCGGCTTGCCATGGTGTGCCGGCACTCACTTCTGACAGGCCGATGTACTTGGCTTTGCCTTCTCTGCGGAACTTTAGCCTATCTTCCAGTCGTATGGGAAGCAATTAAAAATATTTAACAAGCTCAGCCATCGCAGCAACTGTATGCTCGATAGGTGTAATACCATTAACACGATGACAGTAGTGCAGATCGATCGTATCTACACCCAATCGCTTCAAACTCTTCTCGATTGCTGCCTTACAATATTCGGGTAACGAATTCGTCACCCACGTCCCTGTAGCTATGCTACCTGCAAACTATGTTGCCAGGAAGATAGAATCGCGTTTCGCTGTGCGTCTGAACTAGGCGATGAGAAGATCCTCGTTATTGGTATAGACGTCTGCACTGTCCCAGAATGCCAGACCAAGCGTAAAAGCACCGTCTAAGGGAGCAAAACGCTGGCCATCGGGAGGAGGCCTGGAGTAAGCGATGGAGACACCCACCGTGCCGAAACCCAAGGCTAGGACCATGGGTTCATTCTTTCCGAGTTGGCGCATGGGAATTTGTGCTGACATCCCTTCCGATTGATGTTTATTAAGTCAGTACTCCAGAGTTGAGGGTACTTTGAAATGACAAACTCGATGTTATATATCTTTAGGACAAGTAGTTGCGGCAGGGAGCCATCATAGAGATCTGTAGAATATATATACATCTCCCCAACACCCCCCCATAGCCCATATCCTCCATCGTCCAATACCCAACGGCGGAGTTGCTTAAATTTCTCACCATCTTGCATATTATGACTCTTCGCGCCAGCTTCCAGAGTGGAACTCGGGGTACCAGGGGCTGAAGCTCGAGGACAGACATTAAAGAGGACACCTGCCTTGTAGGCAACAGAAATGCCACTATATGTCCTATATCAAGTGGTCCCTAAGTTCAAGAGATCAAGCATTTGCTACCAGAGATGGACCACAACGCAAGATAGGGAGATGAAACACTAAGAAGTCTGATGAGCCATAGCCGGCCCGAAATTAAAATTCCCGAGCTGGTTTGCCGATTGGCCCGGTCATTAATCTTTTTGTCGACCCTCCTCCAAGAGGTCTTGGCTTGCATCAGTCAGATGAAGCGGATCTCCCGATGTGTGGCTCTAAGCATGCTTGATTCAGCCTTCAAAGTTTATTTCAACACCATCCAGAGCTTGGTATTGCAAGCCATCGCATGTGTAACAGACGTGCTGGAAGCCTTTGTTACTTTCATGCATGATTCCAGTCTCACATTGATAATTTGCTATCCGTATCCCAACTTCTAGACAACGGAATAAGCATGTCGCCGTCGGGGATTCACCACCGTCGGCATACCTGCGTCATGGATGTAGATGCGGGGTCAGCTCTGTACCTCATACGACGTATATACCTGCCGATCCACTACCCCACGAATCATGATTCTTGCAACGATCAGGTAGTCGGACGGTGTAACTTAGTTTAGAGCTTCCATGCCTGCCAATGGTGCTTCGAAGGTTACATCGCACCTGACAACCTCTAGCCTGGCGTGTAGGTCATGA